GCTGCCGCCGCCGCCGCTACCGCTCTCTCCCCTTCAGCCTTCACCACCACTACCACCAACCCGAGAATCGGCCGCCACCCCCGGTCGCCCAACCTCCGCCACAGCTCACCTGTCCCCTCTAACCCCTGCCTCACCCTTCTCCCTCCTCCTCTGTCCTACTCTTCCTCTTTCGTTCTTCACCCTTCCTCCTTCACGCATCCCTCTCCTCTTTTTCCTTTCCACGTCCCTGTCGCTCCTCGCGCAACTTCCTTGTTTCGCCTTTTCTCTCCGACGAGTGAACAGCCAGCGAGTCGGCCACCACCCAACCGAGTCGCGTTCGAGCCCGTTTTCGCGCGCCGCGGTACTCAATGTGTTGCACTCGTCGCAGCGCGAGCAGACGCGCGCCGGTCCCCAGGAAGCAGCGTGGGCGGTTTTGCCCCGTTTGCCGGAACCGTCCGCTCCTGGGGCTGTGCCCGGTTTTCGCCTCCTCCTGCGTGCCTGCGGACGTACCCTGCACCCGCGATTGGTACGCACAACTAACCCGCCCGTACGCGAATCCTCTCCTGCACCTGCCACATGCCTCTCCCTCTCCCTCTCTCTCACTCTCTCCGTCTATTAGTCTCTCTATCTGTTAGTCTCTCTTCCGTCTCTCTTCACGCGCCTGCCTCCCTCTCCCTCGCCCTCGCCCTGTCTCTCTTGCTCCCTTTGCTCCATTTTCCTCTCTCCATTCCTCTTTCACTCCTCTCTTTTCCTCCTGCTTCCTGCTTTAACCCTCTCTCACCCCCTCCATTTATTCCTCCGCTCGTCTATTTATCCCCATTCCGCCTGCGCGTATTCCGTTCATCTTCGTCCACAAACCCTCGCTACTTACTCTCCGGACCTCTCTCTGTGTCCTATCTCTGTGTTCGATGTTGACCACTGAGAACGTCGCCGAGGTTCGGCTGCGGTTTTCGTCCTCGAGTTCCTCGCACGCTCGTGGCCGAACGAAGCGCAGCCGATATTATCGTTCGGATCCAACCAGTTCGTCCCTGCCAACGGTAACATGCTACTACACCCGCTGCTACGTCCGCGCGAGGGAGGACCACGGACGTTACAACGGTCGGCTCCATGTATTTCTAGCGAAGCCTTGAGACCATCCCTCTCCGCGCGTTACACGATTCCGTAGGTATCAACGTCCGTAACGTAGTCGATGTTTTGCCACTCGCTAATCCTGTACGTTCTGTATGCTCGAGCACGATAACCACACACACACACACACACACACACACACGAGAGGAACTTACACGCTCTTCTAAAAACGCGCCACAGATCCCTAGTTCTAACATTCTCGGGGTTGAATCGCAACCAGCCCTGCGCGCGCGTTTGTCGACGGCCGATTCGAGTATGTGAGTGTACGAGTTTCATAAGAAGATCGTGTGTCCTAAATTAAAGTCCTCCACGGCGAGCGGCGGCGGTGGCACGCGAAGGATAAGTAACGATTAATACCTCTAAAGGGTAACAAACAAGTTGCACACCGTTGCGTCGAACGCGCTCGTTAACGTTCGATTCATCGTTGACGTTCAGGTTTCCTTAACCAGAACCTCTCAACAGAGCCAGTACCTTCGATCTACCGTTTTTTTTTTTCAAATCCAAGTATCGCTTGCGATACAGCACGTCCGTAACGTTACAAGCGGAGCTTACGCGTTAATCGTTGATAAGAATGCGAGTTTTCCGCGTACTTGTAACGATAAGACGTGAAAAGTTATCGGTGAAGTAAAGTCCGTGCAAGTTCGGGATTACGCGTGGACAAGCAGGGGGGATAATAGTTTCGGAGTGGCTCTATTTCCTGAAAAGAGCTTGCATGTCCAAGAGAAAGGTACGTAACATCGGGCGGGGGCGTTAGAACATGGCTTGGTTGGATTTGCGTGACCGGAGAGTGGAATGTACGTGTTACCTTCATTTTTGGAGAACTCGTAGCCCCGTGCACGTCTACACGGCTACTTGCTCGCTTTAATTTGTATTCAGACCGAGCGCACCCCGCGCGGACGTCTTAAATTTCTTCTCGTTCTCCCGGACGCTTACGCGCTTGCTTCGACCACGTAACTCGTATAGTATAGCATCTCGTAACTCGCGCATTAATTTCAGGCCACATCGAAAACTATCAAGGCCAGCAGCGTGTCTCACCGCGTGCCTCGGATCGTGCCATTGTTCGCCGTCCCAAGGATTCCCTCCGTTCCTCGCTCTGATCGTTAACCGCGTCAGTAAGAATGCATTGACGAGTATAATCCACGTCCATGAGTTTACATCTTTCTTCGACGAAGTGGATTCTGAATGCACGTCCGCGAAGCGAGCATACTGCACATTAACCGATTGAAAAGATCGTATTGTGGCCTTGTACCCTTTTAGATAAGAGACGCGGAGTGTCTAAAGATTGAAATAAAGTATTTACTCTCGGTTCCTCCTCCAGCAAAGTGGAGCCTCCTCCCGAAATCTTTCAGTAAAAACCACAG